CTTCTTGAAATAAAACCTTAAAGAAGTTGCATGAAGAGTCTTGTAGAGGCAGAACGCTCCAGTGGGAATGGCTTTTACTGAGAGGTAATCTTGTGGCAGGTTAGAGAGCAAGTCTGTCAGCCCCTCCATGTACTCTCTTTCCCAGCAGAACAGGCCGACTGCTCTTCTCCAGTGTTTCTGAGGCCATGTTTCAGGAAACTGTAAGCAACCACACAGGTTCAAGCTGGTACACTGTCCTCCTCTCAGTACCACAATGACCAAACCAGAAATGATTATGGATATTACTCATAGAATTCACCAAGGAAAATTTTGCTAGGTCTTGTGTTCAACAACCCCTGTTATCAGAGAAATTTTGTCTTGAAGCTTAACCTAAATCTCCTGCAATCATTTGGATTGACTTCCTCTTCTGATTTGAGTCAGCCTTTCATTTGTTAGTTGATGTATTCATCCAATTTCCTTCTCCACACAACGCCACCACCCAAACGTGTGTCCACGTGCACACTCACGCACTCCCCTCACACTTTCCCTCATACTTCATTGTCAATTACAAAGAAAACAGAAGGTAGACCTGGGTCATAGTAAGAATAAGAATATCATGGAGTCATCTAAGCCCACATCTATTACACTGAAAATCTTAGTTTTATCCTTAAGATTCCTCTTTAGTTGTTGCAGAGCGAGGCAAATTTGCTCAGTAGTTATTGGTAGAGCCTACTAGCCTGTGTGTTTCTTCATATCGAAATCTCTCTTCCCTCCTTACTTCTGAGGGAAGCAGCCTGGTAGGCAGTGAAGAGCTCCAGCTTGGAATCAACTTCCTAGCTCAAGTTCCAGCTCTACCGTTTGTTGACTGTATTTAACTCCTTGTGCCTCAGTTTCCTTATTTATAAATTGGGGATTATAGTAATCCCTGTTTACTAATAGAGGTGAAATAAGTTTAAGTGTAAGGCACTTAGAACAGTTTCTAACTTGAAGTAAGTTCTCAGGAAAAGTTAACCATAGAATTAGAAATAATTGTTGAATTCTTCACTGATATTACTTAGGTGTCTGCAGATGTCATTTCAAATAATGACATTTTTTGAGAGTAGTGCTTACAGTAGTAGAATCAGATTGTACCAAATAAAATAATAATGAACTCCTGTGCCAGTTGGCAGATGTTTTCCTTTTGTTTTAAAGAAAGTGTCAAGAATTGAGCTTAATCGATTGCCTTGCAAACATTGTTATCTGTAAACTAATGTTAGCTAAGTTCTAAGAGCATAAACTCCCATTCAAAAAATTGTTTTGCTATATTTTTGGTTTCATAAACTGAGCCACAATATTTAAGATATGAGCTCTTTACAGCCCTCTATTTTTATCTTTTGTTTACTTAGGTAGCTGGGTTAAGGAGGACTGCATTTTCTCTATGTCTGTTTTTCCTGTGGCCTCAATTGGAACACCATGACACATGTAATAGGTCTTCGCTTTTAAGGCCTTTTGATTTCATGTACCAATTTCTGACTTCACCATTTATGTTTGGAATTGTGATTGCCTGTATATTATTTCTTGATTCCAGCTAGTCTCTCTTGAAAATCTTCTGGGTTTTTATTTTTCCTGTTGAATTTTTTTCTTTGTAATTTTAATAATTCAGGGTTCCTCTTTTTCATATGTAAGTCTTAAGCTGTAAAGTTTGGTATAAATTGGAAATACATCTTTTGAAATAGTTAGAGGCCTTTGATTTAACAGATCTGGATACTCAGATGTTTAAAGGTCATTTTTGTAATATATTTATATTTACATGTTTACAGTTAACTATTTTGTTTCAGTTGTTAGGTCATTTGTGTCATCTAAGAAAAAAATGCTTAACTGTCACCTCTTAGCAGGAGGACCTGTACAGAAACAGTATTATGTAAACAAAGGCACTGGTTTTTTATTTCATACTAGAACTCTAAATCAGATTTTAATAAAATTTCACTGTTCTTTACACTAGCTGTTATTAGTCTTTAGCTTACGGAGTATATTTATTCCATTTATAAAACATAACGTAGAATATTTAGAGTAGGATCCTTTGGTTTTACAGCTGTACTATATCATTCTGTAACTTCTATTTTTAATCTACATTAAGGAAGACCACAAAGTAGAATCTAGTTGTATATTGTGGGGGATTGATATGTCTTTCATGTATAGAGCCTGTTCAGTTCGTATTACTATTTGAAAAATGACACAAAATTCTTTTTATCTTAGTAAATTAAAGTTTATGAAATACATACACATTTTGGGTCAAGAGGTGGGTAGGGAGAGATGTTTTCATTTCCTTCTCCTTTAACCTTGATGGGCCTTCTGGGGATGCTGGTTGGCTCTTGGCAGGCTCTCAAGGTACCTTCTGTCTGATTCTGACCTTGGGATGCAGGAATCTATTGGTCTGCCCCTTGCTCCTTGGTGCTCCATGAGCAGAGGGTCACAGGATTGGTGCTGACAGCGTACAATTTTAATTTCTTACAAAGAGCTTTTGGATGTCTTCACTGTACTCCTTGAATTTGTTATGGTGATTTTTTTTTTAAATGCCTATAAAGTCGATGGCTGCCTGATAGCATCCTGGGAGATTCATTTCACTTTTAATTGGGAACTCTTTTGCAGAGAATGTCATTAGGATCATTGTTGTAGAGAACCCCCTGCGAGTTTCTCCAATTTTGATGTTTATTAGATGTTTGCTGTGGGAGCTCTCGACTCTTGTTCCCGGGAATTTTGAGTGTTTCCAGTCATGGTCATTTGCACATAGCCACAAGTCCACTCACAGGCAATGTTGGTTATCAGTGAGATGCCACTGTTCAGATTGTGAGTGCATCCATAATATCTTTCTCTTATTTGCTAGGCCGAAGATGGTGTTAGTGATTGAGAGCTGCTGGCTGGCACCCTTGCAGAGCAGGAGTAAGTGAGTGCTGTTCAGCTTTCCAGTCCTGTGAGTCTGATGCCTTTCCTCCATGTTTTGGCATCACTGCCAAACATATGCATTGAAATCCTTCATGATCATCAGTTTGTCAGATGATTATATTGTTGCAAAGAGTCTGTCCAGGTCTTTTGTATCTTTTTTTTCTTTTTTGTCACCTTAGTGTATGTCCATTGTGACGGGGACGTAGGCATTGATGATGATGATGGAAGAAGGCACAATATATATCACAACAAGACTAGAGATTTGGGGTTTAGTGAATGATTACAAACTCGGCAAAGGGAAAACTTTTCCAGAGCGCCAGTGTCGTCAGCCCAGTGCTGCATGAGCTGTTGTTCAACAAATGGACTTTGGCCCAGTCCTGTGGTGCCGCGTGTATTTCTCAACAGTTTACTCGTTTATCTTGTGGATTGCTTCATAGTATGGTGTGCTGTTGCCATCTGCCACACCTGTGTTACAGGGTAAGAGGAAGTTTTGCATTTGCTTGCTCGGTGCATCACAGAAGTGTAAGCCCTTGAAACACAACAAATCAATGCAGTTTGGCTGGCAAAAGGCAGGCAGTCTCTAGATGACCTCTTCTCCTGTCCTCTTCTCCATTGGGAGTGCGTACTGCAGCCCTGAGCAGGACAATACATATGGCCAAGGGGCAGGCAGAGAACCCTGTGGAAAGGAGGTCCCACCTGTTTGCATAGAACTGTGGAACTGAGATACACCTGCCCTCATCAGAATTAAGTTATGTGACCTCTGAAAGAAGATTGATGCGGAGCCATCTGACCTGGTCTATTCATGGACAGTCGTTACACTTCACAACCTAGACCAAAAGGCCAGATCTATTGCACATCTTCCTTAGGCAACAAGTTTCCTTATCTTCATCTACCTTGATTGTTGTTGTTAAGTGAGGCCCTTACATTTGCTGTATAAAGTCCCAATTCAGGGTCATGGCTAGAAATGGTGTGCTAAAGAGTACCTCACTGTTAAGAGTCCTTGCAGTGATGATTTATTTTATCAGGAGGTATATATGGCTGCATATGTGGCTTAAGGTGGTGGTCACAGCATCATCCCTTAATTTGAACATTTAGATCCCACTCCACTGGACTAGCCAGGCACTTTCTCCCTTTGTAGAAAAATACTTTTACAAATTTCCACTGTAGTTAAGATACCATATGAAAACTAGCTTTGGATATGTAAGGTACGCTTATGGTCCCAGGCCCTCTATTCCTTTCCATGGAAACTGACCACTTGTAGTTCTGGAATGGAAGCATATAAGAAGGATGGGAATGAGAAATTAGGATCCTTAATTGCAAATGTAAGTGGAATGAGCTTACCCTGCCCATATTTAGGTTTATGTTCTTATCTTTTTTCTGGTGTCCTTACGGAATGTTGTCTTTCACTTGGTTACTAGTTAGGTGTATTCTACTAGGAAATTTACATCTTAGAAATCTATCTATCCATCTGTCTATTGAAGGACTGTATTGATAGACTTCCTGCCTTCCACCAGAGTGGGTAGATGAATATATCCTTTGATTTAGAGAGACACTTCAGAGCCCCAGCATTTGGTATGAGCTGAAGTTAATTCCAGCATGTTTAGGTTCAAGAAAAATATTTATCAATGAAATCAAATTGTTGAAAAAAATATTTTTATTAAGGAAACCTGATTCCTAATCATAGGCATCAAAACCTTTAAGCTCCGTTAAGTTATGTTAAAGGCTTTATGGTCAACAATTAGGATTTTGATAATTATCATAAATGTCAAACATGCAAGTGATTGACTTACAAGTTTTTATTAATCCCATGAAAAGACTGTAGAAACTGCTACAACATAACTAATTGATTTTGCATTAGGGTGATCATTCAGTTGACATAAATCTTTCTCACAGTAAATTTATATAATATCGCAATGCAGAAGCCTTCCATTGTGTTTGACTACCTCCCCTCCCCAACCTTAGTGTGGATGCAGGGTCTTTAAGGTGTATGATAAATGAGCTGTTTACTAATTTCCTGTTGAAGTGAATACACATTTGCAATTATTGGAATTTATTATTTGGGGGCATCTGGCTCATCCTTGTTTTTGTTTGTTAAACAGGAAAAGGACCAGCGCAGCCTAGACATAAACACTGCCAAGTGCATGTTGGGACTGTTATTAGGAAAAATCTGGCCCCTTTTTCCAGTTTTTCACCAATTCTTAGAGGTACCAAATTGTTGTTTTATGAAATGTATGTTTGCTTGCTTAGAACTACCAAATAATTTTATTTACCCATTGTATGTAATTTTTTGTTTGTTGTACTTTTCTGTCTATGTGGGAATTATGGTGACATAATTGCTGTCAGTCAGCAACTACCTATCTTCTTGGAGTGCATCTGTGTATGCGTTTAATGTTGTGTTGCTTCATTCCACATTAAAAATGCATCCAAAACAGCCACAGCTCTGTCCTTTTCTCTCTTTTCTCATCCCTATTTTAAAGCTTCACTTTTGTTTATATTTTCTGTTCTTTGTAACAATAGAAAAAGAAGATTTACTTTCTTTTGACTTTAGATGAACTTCCACTTTTATTAAGCAGAGGTTTAAAAGACAGTCATCTGCCTTCTTACCAAAATTAGTTTATAATCTGTTCTTATCTACTCTTATCACCAAGTAACTTGAGGACCTTAGATCAATCTAAGTATTAGGCAAACTGACAATATCTCCTTCAGTTTAAATTGTCTTCAGATCAGTATCAAAACAGTCCAGCACTTTATTCCATCATTGTTTGTGGGCTTTAAGTATTAATGATCAGAAATTCTGAGCTACTGGTTTTGTTGAAGTGTCATTTTGTGGGACCTGGAAGTATATGGGATACAAGTTTGAGTTACTTGGGTTGTCATATATGGCATCCTCCTTTCCCTCCCACCCCAAGCCCTTCTAAAAACGGTCCTTTGTTTGCAAGGATGAGAGTGTTGGGTCTTTGAGAAAATGCTGGGCTGTATGATGACTCTGGCTTCACTCTTGAATAATCTTTCTCACAACTTACTTTATGTAATAGTCCAGAAAATTTTAATATCTGATAGGATTCTTTGAGAACTGTTATTAAAATTTTCTTTTAACATTACTAACTGGGACTCCTCAAAAACAGATACGTAAGTATCTGTTTACCCAGTAGTCCATGTCGACATATAATCTGTTCTGATTTCTCTGGCAATCCGTTGAGATGAGTTATCATTATTTGGAAAAATAAATAGAAATAGTTTCCTGTTCTCAGAGAGTTTAGCTGGATTTGCACCTGCGTGTAAAGAGTCTTAAGCTGGAAGACCTGGCCTGGAGGAAATCTGACTTTGCATAATTCCAGGTGCATCATCAACTGTTTCAGAACTGGTTTTTGCTTTTACTTGCTTAGAAACTTAAACTTATAGTCTGTGCTTTGTTCTCTTATATTAGTCTGCATTTTTCTTTAAAAAAGACAGTATTCCTCTCATTTCAGCTTTTCTTGTGTTTGCATCCTCAAAACCATTGGCCCAAATCTCTTTGCTTTTTATGTACTTGTATTGTTTTACTATGTTTCTGATTTTAGTGGGGAGGATTTAAAAATCATTGGTTCTGGATTTTATTTATGAATCTTTGTACAGGGATACTGTATTTTTAAATAGATACATGGCAAAGTTCTTGTCTAAGAGGAATAGAAAAACTATTTCACAGCTATTCTAGTTTCTTTTATGATCAGATTCCAGTTTTGAATTATTAGAACAGTAATTTTTTTCTGTGACAAGAATACCTAGTTTTGAGACCACTTGCAGCACTTACTGGATCTCATCAAGTAACCTGCTGCTGCGTGTGCTTTAAGCCAAAGGCTTGGCCATGGGCAGTGCTGGTTATGTCAGGGGTTATATTAATGGGACCTACTCTTTATTTAGCACTTACTTTGTGCCAAGCACTGAATGAAGTGTTTCACATAAATTAGTAAATCATCTCTTTTAATTCTTACAATATCTTTATGAAGTAGATATTATCCCCATTTTATATAAAACAGCTTTTGCAGTTTAGAATTTTCACTTCTGGGGATGTATAATCATGTTATTTTGATGTGCTTTCCATTTTGTATTGAGACCCTATAATATTTTTGTAATGACAATCGTCATCTTAAATTCAACTCTTACTCTCCCTCACCATCCTCCTAGATTGGTGCTTAACAAACCTCAAATGCAAAGAGTTAACCTTACATGAACTTAAATGTTGATTCATAGAGCAATTGAAACCGTCCCATTTTTTCAAGTGTCAGTAATTCATATTACTTTTCCCTCCATCAGCAATCAAAATACAAAGTTATTAATAAAGACCAGTGGTGCAATGTCCTAGAGTTTAGCAGAACGATTAATCTTGACCTCAGCAACTATGATGAAGATGGAGCATGTAAGTACTGCCGCTACCCTTCTGCCATTCATGTACCTTTCTATATCATCTTCATTGGGAAAAGCCTCGGCTACATTATTATTATTATTATTATTATTATTATTACTACTACTACTACTACTACTGTTTCTCTCTTTCACTCCAGGGCCAGTTTTGTTGGACGAATTTGTGGAATGGTATAAAGACAAACAGATGTCCTAGGACTTTATGCATAGCAGCGAGAGAGTCACTGTTACTACAGTTATGTCACCCATTAGCCATAAATTGCTGTTTGTATCAAAGCGCATGCTGCTTTTCTTGCACTGTTTCCCTTTCGCAGGAACATGTTGGTGTTTGCTATTGAATTGGCCAGCTCTGCTTGCTGTGTGGCATTGTTCTCTTCGAAGGCTGCTTTGCAGTTTGTATTTACACTACAGATTGGTGAATTTGCCAATGTCCTCACTGTGATTATGTGTATATTGCTGTTTAAATTTTGTATATGTGTATAAAAGGAAAAACCTTCACCTAGAGATTATTTCTGAAAAATGTATTGTAAAAATAATTTTGTGGCATTTCTAGTCCCTTTTTTGAATGAACCAATTATACTTTATTTGGTCTCCTATGTAGCATATCAGAAAACACGACAAAACTGTTACCATGAACAAACATTGCCAGAATTAACCTTACTATTTAAGAGGCCAACTTCTGGAAGGAGGTAAGAGTCATAACTTTTCAGAGGCATATGCCAAATATCATTTGGTATATTTAACAATATTAGTGTTCTAAAATGATGAAAGTTATAATTATTTGAACATATAGATATGTAACATGCCACAAATTATTTCCACCACACGAGGTATATAAGTTGTTTATTTTTTAGTGTTAAAACTATAGTAGCTTGAATGTAGGTACCAATGAACAAACTCAAATTGCACCTCTTTTCTTAAAAGAATGGGATTTAAACTCTTGTAAACATTCTTTAACTTTTTTGTTCGTTTTCTTTTTTTCCTTTTGCATTCTTCTAGCCAGTGATTGATCTGCTAATGCTTTCTTTGCCACTCTAAGTAAAATTTATTTTGCCTCCTCAATGAAAACCTCATGGTTTTGCTGGCTATTTATAACTGCATCACACTTCTAGTTGTGGCTTGAATTTTCAATTAAGCTTTCATGGTGTGTAATTTTCCAGCCTTTTGAGAAAACAAGCATAGTATAAGTGAGAGCTGTTTTGTTTTCTGTTTTGTTTTCCTTGTTTGTTTGTTTCATGCTAGGCTTTTCCTGGCAGCATGTCCATTGCAGGCAGTGGACAAGAAACCACCAGCATTGAGCTAACCCAGTACATGCTAGGACCTGTCCTAGAGGAGCCACTTTTCATTACCTGAGTTATTTGTACAGAAGGGTGATGGCCATTATTTTTGTGGATGAGGAAACAAGAATAAACAGAATGGTAGTTTTAGGTTTGTATTTTATGTCTTTTTTTTTTTTTTTTTTTTTTTTTGCCATTCTTGAGGAAATACAGAGATGACATTTTCACCCCAACTATCTGGTGCTATTGAATGACTAATTCAGTCCCTAAAGTTCTGTGAAAACACAAAAGTCTAATGATTTGAGTGAGTGGTGCATTTGAAGAAGTAAATGCTGTCGTCAGCAAGATCCGTGATTTAAGCATGTGATGATTGGAAAAGGTTTGGGTTATTTGGAAGTCTGGCTAAAAATTCTTGTGGGTGACATGTGATCCTTTAAATGGCATTAAGTGAATAAAGCACACAGACAATGCTACTCTTGACCACTATTTTACCATTTCTTTGCAAACAGTGTTCACATTTTCATATTTTTTCCCTAACTAACCCACCAAAGAAAGAAATTTTGTATGTATATACAGTGCGTGTGTGTATACAAAATCATGATATAGTAGAATGCAACGACTTTCTTTTTCTACCAAACGAAAGGTTTTATTTGCTGTGAAATAAACCAGAAGTTTAAAAAACCCTGTAGTGATTAAGCATACGTAACCACTCCTTGTTTGCAGATTCACTTTCAACCTTAAAAATTAATACCAGTTTGCATAAACCAATATCTGAAAAGAATAGAACATGTTGATGGCAAGCAACAGCTATTAAAACTGATGTGATGGATGCATTTGTTTTGCAGTGGTGGCTGGCCTAGGCAGATTTGGATCTGTGAATTGATTCATTTTCAAAATCATTCCATAAAGTTAAAAAATTACACTTTAAAGGCAACAGGTCATACAGTTCTTTAAATTTGATCAACTGTAGCTTTATTTAAAGCAAATGTAAATCTCAGATGGAGTTATTTTAAACATTATGCTAGAATATAGATTTTTTTTTAAATGCTAATAAGCACAGTTAATTCTAAAATGAGAGGATTGTTACAAGAGGGAGATGTTACAGTTACTCCACAATCAACATGTTGATGGTAGGGAAAAAACTGTGTAAAAACTATTGCATTATGTATGATAAGAAAGTAAGTATTCCAAAGGGATAATCTTGCATATTAAGAAAGCTCCAAATAATCTTTAAATTGCCTTGAAAAATAAACCTCTGTGACCGCAGAGTGGCAGAGTGCTTACCCTTGGTTTTCTTGATTTTATATAGTTATTTCTAAGGGGAGAAAAAGGGGTCAGAGTAATACATTTTCTTAACAACCTCTCTTAAGTTGCACAAAATTGAACAATCATCAATAACTTATTTACTGGCTACTGTTGAATAAATTAGGGTGCCTTCATCTGGATTTTCTTTAGTACCTAAGTCTACAAACCTTTCTCTTTTTCTATTGTGTTTTGAACTCCACATTGCAATACTCTGTTGTCATGGAATACAACCTTTAGATGTTTGCTGCTTAAGTAGGTCAGAAATTTTATTACTTGATTTGCCCCAAACATCCACTGTAATGTTACATGCACCTTTTTTGAAGCATGAACTCTGAATTATGTTTTTATAAATCTGACTAGACAAACCTAGATTCTGGTTTCACAATAGATTTATTTTGTCTCTCACTCTCCATTTTAACAGTGCTTTTGAAGTTTATACAGAAAGCTTTAAAAGTTAGTTTGTGTCCTTAGTTTTTATTACTACAACTGCTAAAATACCTCTGTAAGCCTTATCCTTTATTCCTTCATATGTTGTATAATAAATGTATACATTTCGTTGACCAACTAAAATGTTGGGTGTCTGTAAATGAGACCAAAACGTGGGTTGCTTTTTTCATAAAATAATTTCTATTGGGGGTTACTGTTCAATGGCAGCAGGTAACCTATAACTGTGAATGCTTCATGTCGTCGGTATTTGCATTACATTCATAAAAGTGTGCAAGTCCTGTGACTCCCAGCTTATGCCACCTAACTTGAGTAAAGCAAACTGGTTTTAGGTTTCAATGAAATTGATGTAAAATGATATCCCATAAATAAAAAGTATTTGTGTTTGGTTTCAGAACAGATGTGTAAATTTTTTCTTCTCTTCTGACTTTCTCTTCAAAAATCATTTAAGGTAGTCTTTAAAGCATTTTTCATCCTTTTTTGTTTGTTTTTTCCAATTTTCTATTGAAAATTTCCAAAGCTACATAATATAATGAACATCTGTGTACCTGTGACTTAGATTTTTCAGTTGTTAACATTTTACCGTATTTCCTGCCTTACTCTTGTGCTATACATGTGTGTGTACTTCTCACTTTCTGTAAATAGATTCTGAGAATAAATTACATTATGACACTTCACACCTGATATTTTGGAATAAGGGCATTCTCCTATGATGCATGATACAATGATACAGTGATCACGCTCAAGAAGTTTAATGGTGGTACAATACTATAATAAACTGTGCAGATTTAAATATCCCCATTTGTACCAGTCATGGTCTTGATAGCTGTTATCTTTTTAATCCAGGGATAAGCATTGTATTTAGTTGTTACACCTCTTTAGTCTCTTCCAATCTAGAAACAGTATTTTAAATGTTTTGATTAAAGATAGTGCAGTCACTCCTCAGCCAAATCGTGATTTTTAAAAAACCCACCGTGTTTTGTATATTTTTACACATTGAGCTAAGAAGAATTAAGCACATACTGTGGGCCACAAGCCAGGCAGGAATGACCACTTTTACTGCCCTCAAGGCTGCCACCCAATTGATCTGTATGTGTGTATTAGCCCTGGCTACCCCTTTCTAAAATTGTCTTACACTATACTAGAATGTAAGCTTTCTGAGGGAGGACCTCTGGCCATGTAGTAGATGGCCAGAAAATGGAAGGAAGCAGATAACAGAATTTCCTCTCTGGGCAAAGAATTGTCAGGACCTAAGAAACATGTAAAGATTAGAAAATCCAAGAATAAATCGAGGATGATTTTTATTTTTATAAGCTTGAAAGCAAGAGAGAGGAAGTAGAAAATAAGATTCCTTAGAATCCAGGTGCACACTGTTAAAATTGTCAATGTGGATGATTCTTTAAACCATAATTTGGGCCAAAAGCTGAGCATCACGCCAAGAAAATACCTCTGCTTCTAGACATCAAGAGAGGTGGAGATAAAGGAAAAAGCTTAATGCCAAATTGATAGCAGTGAGAGGCAACAAACCTTAGGACAGGGAATTCTTAACTTGTGGCAGAGCAAACAGTAGAAACTCATGAGACATGTTATCCAGTAATAGAAAATAGGAACATGAGATTTATTCCACTGGACAGTACTAGGACTCTACATGTATATTCATGGGAATTGAAATAAAGTTCTCCGGTGTAATTGGAACAAGATAGACTGAGGAGAGAGTAAGCCACGAATGCTGGCTCAAGACAAAAAACCCAGCAGAGATGAATTGCAGACATACCCATGACGGAAAAACTTACACAAGATCACTCTAAAGGAAAGACATTGTTAAGCCCTTTGAAATGATGGGGTGGAGAGGAAAGTGAACTGAAAAAATGAAAAACACCCACAGGAAGAAATCGAAGACGATTGGCTCAACCCCAGGGCTACCGAAGTGAGGAAGAAAGTTGGCTATTTGCAGACAGTGACTTTCTTAATTTGTTGAGCATACATGAAGGCAGGACATGCTTTTTCTATGGTCACTGGTTGCATCAAATAGAAATGAGTTATTGGAATGTTACCTCCAAATCCTTACATGAAGAGTAAGCTAAAGATGAAAGCTTTTGATTCCTTTACAAAAGAATTGCTTTTGGGACTTTACTATAGCTAGAAAAAAAAAAAAAAACTATCACGCGAGGAAGTAACACATCAAGCTTTCTGGCCCGGTAAGGCAGAAGGTAACTCAAAATCGGCATGTTCACCACTTTTGGCACGTTCAGCAGAAAAAGTTTAGCTTTTTCTCTGCCAGAATTTGCTCCTAGCATTTATTTCCAGTTGCCTTAACAAAAAATAAAATCATCCCATGTATATAAGTACTTGCTTAGAAATCATGGTGAATTAGTACGTAGGCTATGCCGAGAATAATAATTGGAAACTGAAAAACAAAGATTGACTATAGTAATTAAATGGAAACTTTAAAAACCGTCATTTAAAATGTGAATCTCTTCTCCAATAAGTGTATTCGGTCCTTTGAAAGAAATTCCTTTGCAATCACTCTCTGAAGAATATAGATTGTAAAGAATCCTGGCTGTGAGAAAGGAAGCTGAAAAGGGTTTGTTTTTCCCTCTGACACTTTGCAGCAGAGACATCTCAGAATTGCCTAAGTGTGAATATCTAAAATTACAAACTAGTGTTCTCTAGAAATCTTAGGATACATGTGTGATGGTATAGAAAGCTACAGCTGTACTCATTACCAGTGAAATAATTCATGAAAAAGTTTTGGGCCAACTTTCAATAGCATGTTGAAAGTCATTGCATTTTCTTTGTCTCTACTTGCTTATTGTTCATTTTAGCTTCATTACCTGTAGTGACTTCTATGTATCCCATTGTAAGAGTAGGGCCTGGACAAGGTTTGTAATCCTATCACATTTCCAAAATTATTGAATAAAGTAATAGATGCCTTCTAGCAACCTGTTCTGTGTGTCTGTGTTCTGTGTGTCTCAAAGTGCTCATAAATCCTCCAAGTCCTTATTTTGCCTACATCAGGTTTTCAGATTCTCAATATAATCATTGTATCAACAAACTTTAATTGTGTGTTAGGCAGAATTCCTATGTGAAATTGGTAACAGAGGCATTAAAGTTTACAAGAGTGCATAGAGGAAACTGGAGTAAAAAATCAAGAGACTGAAGAATTAGGAAAGACCTATGAATGGGAGGCCTTATGCCCACTGAGTGTCAGTGCCTTTAGACACTTAGAAATGGTAGACCAGAAACACCAACTGGGTTAGAGCTGAGAGTTCCTTTTGGAGAGTATGGTATAATAGGGAGAGATCAGGAATCGGTGTGATGCCACATTGCATACTCATGGATCTGGTTTTGTTGGTGCTCCAACACCTGGATGGGTCAGCAAGCTCTAATGGATTTTAGAGATGTAGTCAAGAAGACCAGTTGGTTGCTTATTGACATCATTTAGCTCCTTTGAGAAAAAGTGTCCAGCCAGTGTGCTTTATACTGACCTCCTTGAACACCTTTCAACACTTAGGTGAAATATGTAGAGGAACCTGAAGTAGAATTTAAGTAACTGATCTAAAGTCAACATAGCTGGAAAGTTGGAAAGCTGAGGTTGAAGCTAAAGTCTGTCTCCACCCCAGCGCCTTGGGGAGCCCCAAGAAATAAACAAAAGTCTGACAAGAGCTAAGAAGATTGAGTTCTGTAGGTCTGTATGCTGTCTGGCTCATTCAAGGTCTCCTAGTGCCCTTTACAGGAAATCCCCTCTCTCCAACCCAAGGCCCTGGCATCCAGTGAGTTCTAATTTTTTCTCGTTAGCTGGGATGTCATATAAATGGAATCCTATGTTATGTAGCCTTTTGTTTTTGCTTCTTTCACTTGTAATGCTTTTCGGATTTAGCCATGCACCATTGATTCATTGCTTTTTATTGCTGAGCAGTGTTCCATTGAATGGATGTGCTATGAAATGTTGGTGGACATTTGGATTATTTCCAGTTCAGGGCAATTATTAATATTTTTGTGGACATACGCTATTATTTCTCTAGACCATTTTGGGATCAAATAGGATTGCTGGGTCAAAGGATAAGTGTATGTTTAATTTTGTAAGAAATTGCCAAGCCATTTTCCAAAGTCATAACCATTTGGCATTTCTATCAACAATGTATGAAAGTTCTAGTGGCTCCCTATACCCTCATCAGCATTTAGTATTTTCAGTTTTTAAAATTTTAGCCATTCTCATAGGTATGTACTGAATGCTTTCTGACTTGCAAAATACATCAAATACATAGTGATGAGCAAATTAACCCAGGGTTGGTAAGCTCATTTATGGTTTGAGCAAATTCAGTTTTCTTTAACAAACATACTCTGCAGATTAACCGAATAAACACAGTATCCTGTGACATGTTTTACAAGGTCTGTAGTAACATGTTTCCCAGCTAATGGTTACAGACAGTCTGTTACTTCAGAGTATAGTAGTTGAGTATTTTGGAATGTTTCTTGCTCCTTTTCAGCTCTTGTGAAGAAGAGCTATAATTTGATAACTAGAGATTGTCCATATAGATTTCAATGTAAATAAGATTTTATATTCACCTATCTGGTCCACTTTGTTCACTGTGTCCTTCTAGCCTTCTCTTCCTCATTGGCTCACTCATACATATTTGGAATTCAAAGGCTGTCACTAAAATTCTTCCCTCTTTAGTTTTGGAAAACTTCCAAGGATAAGATCCATTTCGAGAGGCTTATAATTATATTTCACAGTTGACAAAGTGCTTTTTACATAGTCTCATTTTAGTCACACAACCACCCGATGAGGTAGATTTTATTATTTTCATTTAACAAATGAAAACAAAGAAACAAAGGGGTTGCAGAGTTCCAGTGACTTATTCAAATTCACACTTAGTAACTGAAAGAAGTATGCCTGGAGCCTGCATCTTCTAGTTCTGAATCCTATGTGCTTTCTTCCATGCCACCCCAACCCCATGCCCTGTGCTTTTGCAACTTTCCTCTGTGATTAGTGCTAAAAGCCATAGGCCAAGTGAAATGTTGAAGGCCAATTAAGGATGGCCAGGTCTAGCCCTGACATCCTGGAAGCTGCCTTTGGCTCCACTAGGCCCTACTTTGAAAGAGCTTTGGAGGATCTCATTGCTGCTCTGAGGAGACGAAGGGCAACATCACTCAAAGGAGTAGAGGAAATGCACAAGGCAGCCCCCAGTATAGTCTGGCCGAAGCCATCTGGGAGCCAGCACAGAAATCTTGACAGCCAAGTACTCAGCAGGCAGGAAAGCAGAAGGTGAGCCCTGGAGGAAATGACTGTGTGTAAGGCAGAGGGTTAGGGACTAGGGATAATACCTGGTCCCCGCTCTTAAGCTTAGACCCATGGAGGAGCTCTGAATGGTTGTACCCTGTTAAGTCAAGCTT